TGAATGAGCATATTTCACTTTCTTTCTGAATCAGTAGTTCTCAACATGGGCTCTGTGTGTACATTTGGTACTCCCAGGGTACTTTTGACAATATCTGAAGATATTTTTGGTTATCAGTACTGGGGGAGGGGTGCTACTGGCATCAGATGGGGAGAGGCCAGGGATGCTATTAAATGTCCTACAATGCACAGATGGTTCCTTCAAAACAAAGAATTGCCCACCCCAAATGTCAGTAGTGCTGACATAGAGAGAGACCCTGATCTAAAGCTAACCCACGTGTTTCACACCTTCCCCAATGCCGATTGCCTTATGATCTTAATCTCTCGCTTAATTTCTGTCTTAGCTACTTTTCTCTCACTGCTGAGACAAAATACCTGACACCCAAAAGGTTTATTGAAGGGGGAAAGGTTTATTTAGTTCACAGTTTGTAGAGGTTTCAGTCCATAATCAGCTGGCTCCAAGGCAGGCTGGCAGGGCAGACAGACATTGAAGAGGAGAAACAGTTCATGGTGGGCAGAAGGTAGCAAAGCAAGCAAGCAAGGGATAAGACAAGCCTCCTTCTGTCACTTATACTGTATCCAGGCTACCAGGGTTAGGACTGTGCCAAACCAATCAGTGAACTGATTTAGTAATCACATACCCTTAGTCCCAGCATTGCACCATGAATCAATCACACACTCTAGATCCAGCCACCTCTGAAAAAGCCCTACCTCCAAAAAAGTATGAGACTTGGGGAGCGGGCATCTAAACACAAGTCATAATAATTTCCTACCATCAGATTTTTAAAAAAGTCTCATCCTGAAATGGCTCCTCAGTGCTGTTATCTCTGGTGGCCCAGTTATCTTCCATTTCTGTGACATCTCTTGCTTTTATCTGGCCTCACTAACCTCTGATTGAACAGTCTGGTACCATGAGTCCCAGCTATGACTTTCTTTGTCAGAATTCTGCCCACAGCATTGGACGGGGAGGTCCCCATGCCTATTTGTCCACAGGAAGCCTAGTGCTCACCTGCCCCTGTGCTATCCTGTGCCTGGGGCTGTTTAAGCCTGAGGCAGGGGTGCTTCCTCTAGGCCAGTGATGGCGAACCTCTTAGAGACGAGTGCTCAGACTCCAAGCCAAACTCCACTTATTTGTCACAAAGTGCCAGCACTGCAATTAAACCTGAATATTGAGGGTTTGGCTTTGAAAAAACAACTCATATATTAACATATCTGGTCTTAAAATGAAAACAAACAATACATGTGCTATTGATTTGCCATCATTGAACCAGATGTCCTAGTTGGACATAAGGCTGAGGCAGACAGAAGGTAGGGTCAGCAGCAGAAACTGCAGGCCCAGGGCAGAAGAGTGAGGTGCATGTGGAAGAATTTAAGGGATTGACAGTCTGGAAGCTTAAGCCAGAAATGTCACCCTTCCCTAGCTGTGAGCAAGAATTCTTCTTCCCAAGAGTGGGAATTCTAGTTCCAAGGCACATGTGCCATAGGTTCTCGACCAGTGCCCTAGGCTCTGCATTTCCTGCGCTTTGCTGTCATCCTGCCAGCGGACACCATGAGGACAGGCATTTCCCGTCACACATTCCCACCTAATTTTTCCTCACCAGAATTCTCAAATTATAGCCCACCTGCCAGAGATCCTCTGAACCTATGGGGAGCTAATACTTATGGGAGATTTACTTGGTGCTAAGCACTGTATTAAAAAATTTAATTCTCAGAGATAACTTATGAAGTAAGAACTGTTTTTCTCCATTTGGGAAAGTTCAGGCATCAAACAAGGTGTTCATGCCACGCAGTGATAGAGCCAGGATTTGAACCAAGACAGCTTCAGAGCAGGGTCCACCGTGTGTACCCTCGCCAGGTCTCTCTCATCTCAGCCTCCTTGTTGCTGGGCTGGCCTAGCTGTGTTGGTGGCACTGTTCTTGGGCTCCCTTCATCACCACCATGGCAACCTCCAGCAGCTCCTCCCATTGGCACTCAATTTATAGCCACCCTCCCTCATCCCACAGTCTGAGCTCTTGGCCCATGGACTAAAGGGGGTGTCCCTGGTTCTTTGCCTACCCAAACATGCCAGGTACCAGGCCACCAATCTTATTTCATTTCAACTGTTGAGCACTCATCAGTCAAAATCCACCCTTTATTCTGGCTGAATTAGGAAGTGGTCAAGGACATACTTCTGCCTCTCTCGCTGGACAAGTAAATTCTCAAGGGGGAAGAAATAAAATCTTATTTATCTCAATATTCAAATATACTTGTGTCACCAGAAAGCCAGGTCCTGATGCTGTGAGGAACTGAAGCAGGACTTAAAGAAAAACAAGTTCTTCTCAGCCTTGGGCAGTGCCCCGCTCGGGTCATCGCTCCCTTCTCCCCTCTAGCTGTAACTCCTTGTTCTGGTACAGATAAAATTAACAATTATGTCCTGTAAGCAAAGTTTATGACACTAATATTCATAAGGCTCTATCTTCTTTCAAGGCTAAATTACAAAACTGTCTGTCCTTGTCCCATTTCTGTAAACTTCTTGCTATGTCATTAGAAAAACCACCCCCCTTCGACCAAATGTATAAAAACTAGAACCTTTTCTTTGTTCTCTGCTCTTCCTTTAGACATTAGTCCCTTGAGCTGATGTTCACCTAAAATGTGAAATAAATCCTCCTGTTTCCTAATGGTCTCTCCTGTCTCTTTTATACCGCAACAGAACTAGGCCTCATGAAGCTCCTTGGTCTTTTGTGCCCTTGATGAAGGAATTCAGTCAAGACACATAGGTAGCCATGCAGAAGTATGGGTAGGATTTACTGTAAAGTAGACATAGAGAGTTACAATTGCAGAATGTCCTCCTGTCCTTTTCAGATGGTCAGTGTTCCCTCAGGGGCCTTAATCATGTTAGAAACTTAGGAAAGAAATTTCTTAAAGATAAGTTCTTAATTTGAACCAGGTCTCAGCCAAAGGCATAAGGGTCTTTAATGAAATTTCCTTTTCTGATATCATTGGGCCATTAGGTATGGCAACCAGGAATGCTGTCTAGCATGTCCTACAATTAGAGGCCCTATATCTTTGGGTCTGAGACCTAATATATGATGATAAATGTATTATCTAGTGTCATCTTTGTTTCTTTACTTAACTACAACTAGCAAAGCATGCTGGTTTGGAGTTTCTTTTGTCCCTCAGGCTCACCAATGCCTAACTACCTCTCTAACACTTGGCACATAAGGGGCACCTATTAAATGTGTTGAATAAACAGATGAATGAACTTTAAATGCTCTCCATTTCATGGGATGGAAAGCATAGTGGTCAAGAGCCCATAGCTATGGCCCTGGATGGACCTGGCCTTGAAGTCCAAGGTCAGATCCAAGCTGTTATGTGGGGCTACACAGCTGTGTACTTAGCCCACAGACTGGCAAATTTTTTCATTAAGGGCTCAGACCATAGATATTTTAACTTTATGGGTCAGTCTCGCGCCAGGTGTTAAACTGTCTTGTTTTCAAAAATAGCCAGAGATAATATCTAAACCAGAGAGAATTCCTAAACCAGTAAGATTGCCTGTGTTCTCTTCAGCTTTTATTTATAAAATCAGGCAGCAGTACAGCAGGATGTGGTGGTGCACATCTGTGATCCCAGCACTCAAGGGGCTGAGGCAGGAGGAGTACCATGAGTTTGAGGGCAGTCTGGGCTGCACGGTGAATTCAAGGCCAGCCTGAACTACATAGCAAGACCTTGCCTCAAAAATAGAAACAAACAAACAAAAACCCCGAGAAACAGGCAGCAGGTCTAAAGGAGCAGGCTGACCTAGGTCTCAGTGTAAAAAAAGATCGAAGGAAACAAACCATGGACGGATCCTTGGATCTTGGCTTGATAGCCTTGGTCAAGATTGCACTATTTCAACACATCAAATCCATTCAATTCAATTTTCTGAGCGGTACCACATGACATTTGCATGTACAGTATTCCATTTTTCTCTCCAGTTCCCTATGAGGTAATACTAACTTTAGTATCATTATTTATAGGTTAAGAGCAAGGGATTCAGGAACCAGACCGCCTGTCCTAGTTCTGGCTCTGACACTTAAAGACATACTGTGACTGGAAAAATACCCTGACTTTGGTACAGTCCCTCAGTTGCCCTCTCTGTAAAGCCAAGATGACAATAACTATGTCCATCTCTCAAAGGGTTGGGATGAGGATTAAATGGGTCTGCATCCCTGAATCATCTGCAGATTCCCCAAACCCAGATGCAGGCTATCATGGCTTTCCTCGTGATAGCCCGCTTGGCTTTTTCCAGGGTGTTCTTCTATCTTGCTTTTCCCTCCTTTACTCTGCCCAAGCTCGCTCTGCAGAGCCAGTTTCTCCTTCACTCTTCACTTTTACTTTTTCACATAAATTTGGCCACTGCTTAAAACCAAACAAAACCCAAAGAGCACCCGCCCCCCTCCCCGCAGACCCAATACAATCACAGCAATCTCATGAATGACAGGGAGCCACAGTATTCCTGAAGTTTCACTGGGTGAGTACAGTGCAAAGCCAAGTGCGGAAACCAATGGGTTAGAATGACCCTTGGGAGAACCCCTCCTGGAATTATCACCCCTCCGAGCCCCCAAGTACCCGGGTCCCCCGAACCCAGGTGATTGCACAACGCGCTCCCCAAACTCCCCGCGCCAGCAGGCCCCGAAGCCCCGCCCGCGAACACTGGTACTTGTGGTCCCTGTGACTCACTGGTCTCATTCTCTCTTCCTATTGGTTTTCGCCGACGCCCCATTCCACACTCCACCAATTACCGGGGCACAGTAGGTTCTTAGCGCGTGGAGCGGCGGCTCCCGGGCTCAATCCCTGCCGGGCTGACGTCAGTTGTTGTCCTGTCTGAGGCTGCGCGGCTCCAAGAATTCCCACGGTCCTGCTGTCTCCGCCGCCGCCGCCGCCGTCTCCGCCGCGGTGATCACCGCAGGTAACTGCGGGCCCCAGCTCGAGAGCAAAGCCGATATCCACGCTCCAGGCCAGGGCCGCTGATCAGCTGCAGTTCCTGGCCTCAAAGCTTGGATTTTCACTTTCCCGAAACCCTTTCTGAGTAATCTGTCACCCCGTCTGTCGACTTGAATCCCGAGGAAAACCCTGCGAAACTCTGCGCCCTAAGTCTTGCGAGAGTGATAGTGGCGGAGGAGATGGGCTCTGTTTTTTCGCGTCAGCTTTGGAACGCTGTGCTGCTCGGGAGGGGAAACTGAGGCTCTAGAGGAGGCTGATCAGTCGAGGTCTCACAGCTAGGGCGTGTCCGGCAGGGTTTGGGTTTTGGTTCCGATCTTTACAGCCTAGGCGTTCAGGCTGTTGATGCTTTTAGTGTGGAGGGTTAAACCCATGAGGAAGAGCTGTTAACGCTCCCCCCCAAAAAAAACAACAAAAAAAAAACCCAAACAAAAATACCCCAAATGTTCCTTCTGAGAAGTCAGGCAAGTGCGGTTCTGGGAGTTGACCGGGTGTGAGTTTCAGGGCGACCCACATCAACTGGAAAAGTGTAAGTTAACCGGCAGTGATCCCTTGTTCCCGTAACATTTAAGATTATTCTTTGTCAAACACCCTGGCATCTGGAGGCTGGAAGAAGGAACTCCCTGTCACGTGCATTGTGCCCGGGTTTGAGACTCCACTTGTGGTCTCCAGGGAGTGGAATAGCCCAGCTTTCTGTAACGTCACACAGCAGGCCGGGAGCTTTACTAAGCTTTTTGAGCTGGGATTACTTTTGTGAAGGGGAACGGCGGGCTCTAGCAAACAATTCCAGTGTTACAGGGCAGTACAGAGTACAGGCGTGTATAAGGACTGCTTCCATCCCTGACTTGTGGGAAGAGATAGGAATCCACAGAGAAGGGGATGCTCAAGTTAAATTGGAGGGATGGGCAGGAGCTAGTGGATGAGGAAGCCCAGTTCACCTGGAAAAGTTTCGTGAAGGCAGGGAACGGGCAATGCTTTGGGACCTGGAGTTGAGCCACATCGGAGTAAGGATTTTCATGTGGGTGGTGAATTCTGTGAGGCACGAGCATAGAGCATAAGGAGGTTCGTCTTGAACTGTCCTGTGCTGCTGTGAGAGATCAGGAAGCTGCTTTTAGTGTAGATCTCTATCAAATACCCCGTGGGGTAGAAAAGTGTTGGAGAGAGGCCATACTAAAGACAATCGCAATAATACCCAGGAGAAATTCTGAGCTTTAAAGACCTATGAAGTGGGAGAGATGATTTTGAGATGTTAAGGAAGAGTACCGTTCAGGAAAAAAAATATAGCTATATGTTGCTTAATGTTGGGGATGTGTTGTGAGAAATGTATTATTGGGCCATTTCATTGCTGTTCAAACATGGAGTGTATTTACATGAACCTAGATGAGGTTTAGGACACTGGAGGTGTCTCTTCATGCAGCCAAAAGATGAGGTACACAGGGGATGCCAGAGGCTGCTGCTGGCATCACAGGGTCTACTGTTTTACAGTAACCTTTTTACTTTTTGTATAGAACTAGGAGTTGTTTCTAAAATATAATGGAAAATGTAGTATAGTAAGTATATGAACCACTAGCATAGTGGTTTATCATTATCAAGTGTATGTATCATACTAAATTGTACATGCTATACTTTTATGCACCTGGCAGTGTTTGCAACTAGTAAGTTTGTTTGTATCAGCATTACCACACACTCAGGAGTAAAGCATTGTAACATTGTCTTTTTTTTTTTGCAGTGCTGGAGAAAGAACCCATCACCTGTACACTATAGGTGAGTGCTCTACCACTGAGCTGCATCCCCAGCCTAAGCATTATGCTAGGTATTACATTATAATGGGCACAATGTCACTGACAATAGGCATTTTTGACTCCATTATAATCTTACTGGATGGCTGTTATATGTGTGGTCCATTGTTGACCAAAACATCATTATTCAGTGCATGGCTATATACTGAAGTGAACCTCTCTCTTGAGTTTTCCTGCATATAACTATCTTTTGAAGAAATGCCCAGTGTTTTTTGTTAACTACAGAAGTTGCTTAAGAGAGCATAATTTGAATCCCAGTTGATTAAGGGGAAGTTCTCATATGTATTGAGGGTATGAAATGTGAATGATTAAATACACATGTAACTCAGATTTTCTTGTCATCCAGGAAGTGCACATTAAAACCATGATTAGAACCACATAAACCACTTTTTATCTATCAGATTAGGAATTGTAAAGTTTGATTCTGTCAAGAGAGATAATACGTATGAAGGAAATGAGGGATACACGTGAATCTTAGGATAGTATAGCCACTAGCAAAATGTTTTAAGATACTGTGGTTTCACTTGTAGAAAATAACCTTGGCATTTGTATACAAAGAGAGCAATGTTAAGATGTTTATTGAAGCATTGTTTATAATAGTTAAAAAAAACCTGGAAACAGCCTAAAAGTTCTTTGGCATGGGAATGTATATAGAGTAGACATAGATCTTTTTAAAATGAATGATGAATCAACTGGAACGATGCTAGTTTAGGATACTGGTTACCTTGCAGAGTATGGGGGATGGGATTACATGGAAGGAAAATTTCACCTGTAATGTTTTATGTGGAAAAAAGACCTAAAAAATTTAGAAAATCTTAACAGCTGAAGGGCTAGTTCTGTAGATAATAGGTAATGGTTGTTTTATGTTATTTTTGTATCTTTGTATAGTTTAATGTCTATTACATTTCTTCAAATGGGGGGCTTTAGCTAAGTGGCACTGTGCCTGCCTCACAAGTGCAAGGTTCTGAGTTAAAAAAAAAATCTTTTCAAGTAAAAATTTAACCTAAAAATTAGCATGTAAGTTGTTTTGGAAAAAGACCACAAACTGCACTGGTACCAGGTTTCAAAAATAGTAATATGAGTAAAAGAAAATTGGTTTGCCAAATAAACATTGAAAATAAAATGTAGAGGGGCCAGGGATTTAGCTCAGTGGCACCATCCCTGCTCACAAGCACAAGGTCCTGAGTTCGATCCCCAGTACCAGGAAAATAAAATGTAAGAAGCTATTAATCATTGGCCAGAATTGCTAGATACCTAAAACCTTCTAACCATTTTAGTAAATTTAAATAAATATCTTTTGTGTTTGTTTTTGAGGTGGGATAGAAGAAATAAAGATAGGTAGAAAGGAGACAAGGGCATTTTCATTTTAAAATTGTAGTTTTGGCTGAGTGTGGTGGTGCACCCCTGTAATCTCAGCACTTGGGAGGTTGGGGCAGGATTGCCAGCCTGGACTACACAGTGAGTGTGAGGCCAGCCTGAACCACATAGCAAGGCCCTGTCTGAAAAAAGCCAAAAAAATTGTGATTTTGACAAACTGCAGCTTTAAGACATAATCAGAGTTACCCAAGATTACAATGCTGTTTTCACCTCTAGGCCTTTTTTTTTTTTTTCCTTCCGAGCTCCTCACTCCTAAATTCCTAAGAGTCTTAAAGATACAATAAATCAGGCTGGGGATTTAGCTCAGTGGTTCTGCCACCTGCTTCGCAAGCACAAGGACCTGCGTTCGATCCCCGGTACCAAACCCCCCCCCCCAAAACCAAAGATACAATAAATCAGAGGCTGGGAAATTACCTCAGTGATTCTGGCGCCTGCCTAGCAAGCGCAAGGTCCAAAGTTCGATCTCCGGTACAAAAAAATAAAAATCATAAATTCAGTCTGTGTTTTTCTTTGGATATTATAAATCCTTAAATTTCAAAGACTTCCACTCTCAAAGAAACAGCACTGTTGGTACCAACCATATCTCCAGTCCAACACTTGTGAATGGTTTGTATTTTAAGCTAATTGATACAGTTTTTCTATCACTTAAGGAAATAGACTCTAGGTAAATTAATCATAAATAACTCAAAAAACCAGTGCCCCAGGTCATCTGTCTGAGACTACCCCATGACCACAAAACATCCCCAAGCCCAGACCACAGTGCATCTCACCCTTGAGCTCTGTATTCTCTTCTCATTGTGTATTTCTTGGATTCTGGATAATAAATCTTTAGGTGCCTCTCATGGACACATCCTGGATCGGTTTTCTGAAGAGAAAGAGTCAGTAACCTACAGGTTACTTATGGGGCAGGTTGAGGTCCCCGTCTCTTCAACAGGGGGACTATCCCAGACCCTGCCTTGAGACATTTGGAAATATCACAGTTGCTTGTACTTCCTGTCAGGTTAGAAGGTAATTTATTGTTATGGTTTGTGTTTTGTGTTTAGATGTCCCTCAAGGCCTCATGCCGAGGAGGTGGGTGGGCCTTTCTTTTTCAGAGGTAGTTGAATATGGAATGTGTGATGCTGGGGGCGTGTGATCACTAAACCACTACATGGGAGCGATTAGTTTGGCACCTCCCTGATCCCAGTAGTCTGAATAAGATAAAAGGGGCAGAAAGGGGCAGAAAGATGCTGGTAACTGTTGTCTTTGCTACCTTGTTGGCGCCATGTTGTTTCTCCTCTATGAGGCCTGTTTGTCACCTCTGCCTTGGAGCTGGCCGATTATGGACTGAAACTTTCAAACTGTAAGCCAAATAAACCCCTTCCCCTCCAACTTTGGGTGTCGGGTATCTTGTCTCACAATGAGAGAGAGAGAAGGGAAAGGTAACTAACACATTTATAGTCATCAATCAGCACAGATATAAAAAAAGAAAATATGTTAAGGTTTCTATTTAACTATTAATAAGGAAGCGGAGTGAGGTGTTAAATCACTTTAGAGGGGACCAAAGAAAAGTCACACGTGCAGATTTAGAAATATTGAAGTGAATGTGCAAAGGGGAGGCAAAGCTGGACTGTGGGAAGGAGTTCAGTTGGTAGAAATCATTTACATGTCTATAGACAAGAATTATTTGCATTCTTATTCATAGTATGCTGACCTTTTCACCTTTGACAGAATCAGAAGTTCTAGCTAGTTTCTACCTAATCACAGATTTTTCCCTGTAGAAAACAATGACTAACCTGAAGAAAGTACATTTTTTCATTTGAAATACTGTCTGGTTGGGCTTTGTTTTAATCCTGTCTTTTTTGGTACCGGGGATCGAACTCGGGTCCTTGCACTTTCGCAGCAGGTGGCAAAACCACTGAGCTAAATCCCTGGCTAATCTTGTTTTTTAACCAGAAAAATCAAAGGATTTAAAACTCCCACAGTGCTAGGCTTACAGGTGTGAGCCACAAGGGCTCTGTGTCTTAGAGAATTCCATTCAATACTTTATTTTAAAACATCAAAACCAATTTTCTTCTGGCTTCTGTAGTAAGAAAGAGAGACTCAATACACAGGATCCATTGCAGGTTGAGTGCCCACAGGCAACGTAAGGGGCCAGCGGCATTCCTTCAGCTTAAAATACTCAGTATACCAAGGTGTCCCACTTTGGGGTAGCATGTCCTAGACCCTGTGGATGGAGAATTACTAAGAGGAACTTAACTAGATATCAAGGGTGTAGGGATTCTTGTAGCATTCTTGTAAAATTGGGCTCAGCAGGATAAGGCCCTGTGGGAAAAGAGGGCTCAGAGGAGCCTGACCAAAGTTAGTTAAGGAGTTAGTCCCTATCAGCTGTCCTTGTTTTTCCTACGTGTCCTCAGCCGAAGGCCACGTGCATGATGATGTTCTTCTAACTCCCTAGATGAAGACTTTCCAGTTGAAAGGCTCCTTTTGGACACCCTTGTCCAGCTAGCCGCTTTGTCTGGCTTCAGTAGTCTGCTGTGCCTAACCCAGAGCCAGTGTAAAATGGGGCTGGCAGTAAGGGGTCGCACTTGGTGGTGGCCGAGGTGTGGTTTCTGGAGGTTTAAGGTCTGTCTTGTGCCAAAGAAACCTGGAGACAGAATTTTTGGTGGACAGAAGAGGTTTATTCAAATCTGTATTTACCTGCTCAGGTGTGCAAAGAGCTTTTACTGAGAGAAAGAGGGAGTGCAGTGAGTCAGGACAAGAGCTCTTTATTCAGAGAGCCTGTTAGTGCCTTAAAATAGTCAGGTGGGAAGACAACTGGGGTCCTACTGCCTGGGGATGCTGTGCGACCTGGCTGTGCCCTGGCCCAGGCTGGGGACATGCAGTGCCTGTGTTTATGGGGGCACCAGACTTTCGTATCAGCAGCTCTTATTGTGACAAGCAGGTGGCACAGTAGAACAAGCGGTCTTTACAGGCAGGTCTGTGCATAGGTCCTGTCATCGAGTGGGGTCCTGGAGGAATTCCCCCAAAGAGGAGGCTGGTTAGTCAGGAGCTGGGGATATTTATGTGGTTTGGGGTGGAAATCTATGATATTTGTGAATCTACAGGAAGTTCAGAGTCAACTTAAAGGTGAAGGGCCAGCTCCAGTCTATTGCGTTTTTAAGGATGAGTGATCTGTTTTCCCTAAAAACATTCTTTGAAAGCTTTGAATCTGTTTCTCTGTCTTAGGGTTGATACCTTTACCTTATTGACTAATCTAACTATGGGTTTAGAATATCTTTAAAGAATTTAGGGTGTAATGGGCCTGGAAAGAAAATACAACCAAGACAAGGGAACACAAACAAGCTTTAGGGGGAAAGATGTGGAATACAGATAGGGACAACTTTGGGTAACTGTGTCCTGAAGCTGCAGTCTTCTTGAAATCACGGTTTTTAATTTATGACTTTCCTTGGCTCCTCTGTACCTACTTTTATTTCTTCTATCTTACCTCAGTCCCAGCAGTGCCACTTACCGGCAAGTTTCTCCACCTCTCTGAGCCTCCGTGTTCTCCCCTGTCTGTGAAGGGACGGATACCTGCTCGCAGGGATGTGGGGATGATGTAAATAAAGC